TCAGAATACCTCTGCATCAGTTTTCATTAAAAATTCAGGAATATACTCTCTGCCTCCAAACCTTCCTCTTAAAGTTCCTGGAGATCACCACGCAAACCTCATTTGTTTCAAAACAGAATGAACCTCTGTTTAACAAGTCTTCGTGTACCAACTTTCATTGTGGCAGAGACCAGGTTGATTTAAACCTTTGAGTCATTCTGTCTGTGCCAGTCCATATGAAGGTCTCTTTTACACAGTTATAAGGTGGCAGGATCTGTTTTATGAAGTGGTCATTAACGGGTGGTGACTGAAGTGGTTGAGATTAGGACCTGCTTGCTGGAATATGCCGACTACTCTTGTGCTTTACAGAAATTCAGCAATACTTTTGAACTATTAATATCACCACCTCATAAAAATCATGTTTTCTCTCCCCAAGACGAGTGTGATCAGCAGCAGAGGGATATTCCATCTTTTTCTGTGCCGTTATCCACCTTGCTCCCCAAGCTGTCCTCAGCAGGAACAGACCTGGTTCACTGCTGCTCTGTGCAGGAAGATCCACACAAAATCTGGCACTTTTTGCATGAATTTCTTGGCTGTTTCCACAAGGATCTTCAGTCCTGGTGGCTTCTGCCACACAGTGCTTGGTACTCTGCACCAGCTATCAGCCTGTAATGACCCCGTAACACCCTGGAAGCAGCACCAGAACAGAGAACTGAATATTTTCCTCAGTGATCCTTTCATTTTCCTGTCCCTCAGCTTTACTTTTGTGAGCTGGGTTTTTAGTGCTTCTCTATTTCCAAGGACCATTAAAGAAAATAATTGCATTACAGGCAATTCTAGTTTTGTCTTGTTTCAAAACTTGGGAGGAAGAGAGTCAGATTCACTTCAAATCCACTCACCAGCACGCTGACCAAAAGCGTCCTTAGAAAGAAACGTGGATTTCACACTAATTAATGTTTCAAGATAGAGTTTGATACGTGCCGTGTGTTGCTAGAAGGCATCTTCATGACCCCTTCCAAACAAAGTAAGGCTGATGATGAATCACTTGGTTAAATACACAGAACTAACACTTCACTGATATTTTAAGTAGAATGTTTTTGGGGTGATCTCATACCTAAACATGATTTTAACTACTTCACTATAAAAATCTTGGCTTTGTCTTGTAAAGCCAGCTGGATATATAATGCCTTAATTTAATTACCGAAACATGAAGAAGTCTGGAAAAAATAAATGGAAAGATTTGGAACCGCGCTGTTGTCGTAAAACTGGACAAGGTAATAAAAATGGCAATGCTGAGTACTTTTATAGACTTTTTTTTCCAATGTTGCAAAATCAAAACATGCTTTTATGATAGTGGTGAACTGTAAATTATAAGATATCAAAGAGAAAAGTAGATCATGAGTTCCCAGTAAATATTTAAGATGGGTTCTGCCGGCTGGAATTTGACAGATGCTTCAAGGAGTAGCATTTTTAGGCTTATGGGGCACATCCACATCAGGAAATGGGATGTAGCAACCAGACTTCCAAGGTTAGTTCCAGTCCCAATGGGATGCCCCCATGGCACGTGCTGGGTGGTACTGCTTGGAGATGCTGCCTGGGGGACACCCCAACACCACAGGGCTGCACCAGCAGGATGCTGGGCCCACACAACACTGTTTGGCTGTGATTACCAGTGTCCTACCCTGCAGCAACCTCACATTCAATGCCTCACCCTTTTACTTCAATGACCTGAGTTAGCCGGGGACTTTTTGGGACCAACGCTCATGAAAGAGCGAGCTGATGACTTCTGAAACCAAC